GAAGAAAATAAAAGAAAATGGTGAACAATTTTTTATTTTAGTTTGCTACTTTTTCAACGCAAAATGAAACCGGTCTGGATGCCAGTCTAGATGGGAAAATCTAGAACGCGGTCAATATCGATTTCAGCCAATCAAATTCGTGAATTCGGTAGTTCCCAGTCCTTGTGAGACACAGCCATATAATAATTAAACTTATTTAAGCGAACGAAAACAAGGCTACGTTATGAACTAATATATGCAAAAAATGTACGATTGCAAGTCTAACATAAAAGGACTACGTAACTCAGAAAAGTCCATTCAAACACACTAATGAACGCAATTGTCTCCTGTTCAGCGCCAGTCGCGCCAAGGATAAGAAAGTGTTCGCCAAAAAGGAAAAAAAAAGGATACATCCCGAGATGATGCTGTACGCACGCGGGTGTTTAATTACGAAAGCACAATTGTTGGTGAAAATAAGAAAATCTTGGCCTGTGGTCTCCAAAGCAGAAAAAGCAGAATAGCCGTGAACAGTTTCTCTATAAAGCCAGGTATATCCTAGATGACTAAACCAATTGGTTCTACATGAAGTGACAACCAGTGAATTAATGGCGTTTCCATGGTTTGACTACGTCAGTGTCCCGGGGTCAGTGTTCTCTCAAATCAAGTCTTTCTCTATAATATATAGATTTAGCCAAGCCTGATTGCAATAACTGACGATAAAGGAAAAGAGAATTATTTTTTCTTGGATCAGAAACTCAAAAAATGATCAATTGTGAGTATGTAATTGTTCAGCGTGTGGTTTTGCTATTTTTTTCCAGTTAAATTTTAACAAACTATACCCAACAAGCCTAACCAAAATTATAGAAATTACGTACGCAATATATTAAGGACTTTCCAAGAGACGATTGTACAAGGAATGTCAGAAGTAAAGTCAACAACGCGCCAGGGGTAAATTTGCGCCGAAATTTTGCCTTTGCGAGTACTCCTTCCTTCTCCCCCAGAGAAATAACGTGACTGGAGCCCGCGATCCAATCGGTGAACCAGGAACTGATCAGCGGTCAACTGTAAAAAAACACGCAAACTAGATGAGCTCTAAACCTGAGCCCGCGATATATTCACGTGATACTGGTCAGCGGATAGCTTGTTGTGATAACTGTCAATTAACGATAGCGTGAACGCCCAAAATTAAAGATATAGCTATGGTAATGGTGCTACTCTCTTAAGCCCTGGTCAAACGGACTCGCAAGTAGTCGCAAGTAGCCAGAAGTTGAGCTTGCGTAGAAACTTGCGTTGGGTGGCCAAACGGACTCGCAAGTTTCCTCGCTAGCACATGCAAGTCGCCAAAAAACCCATTTCAAGCCAGACATATCCTTTTTTTATTGGCTAGTAAGAGGTTAATGGACATCACTCAACTTGCGTTGACTTGGGTTGGGTGGCCAAACGGTGAAAAACTTGCGTCGACTTGCTTGCAAATTTGATCTCGACCAAAGTGAGCCCAAGTCATCGCAAGTCAACGCAAGTGCACGCAAGCCCTGGCCAAACGGAGTCGCAAGTAGACGCAAGTTGAGAACTTGCGTGTACTTGCGACTCCGTTTGGCCAGGGCTTTAGTTTTCGAGGTATTGGCGTACGGACGGACGTACATACGTACGTACGTACGGGCAGTCACGTGACAACCCAAATTTTTCAGATCGATGGGTTACCAAATTTTCTAAGGTATGGGGCTTCGCTCGCGCCTTCGGCACGCAGGGGCACCGCTATTAACTGCGATACCATCCGAATGGTTAGGTTGTCTCTATGTCACTGCCTTCCCCCCTCTCCTAGTACCCATGCATAACCAATTGTTTTTTCAGGACTCAAAATCCCTCATTTACCTATACGAGACCCACATGATGACACGCATCTCATTAATTTAAACCCGCTTTCAGTGTTACGTGCATAGCAAGATCGCATAGCAACTATCTCTCGATATGCCATCTTTCGACATGCTATATATCCTGGCCTACGTCAAAATGTAAGCATGGCTTCTTTACAGTCGAACTCGACTTTTGGTCATGAAAGATGGATTTATTTGACATCAAACTAAGGCTAGGAGCATCAAGAAATCATTCTGTGAGGGATATATCGATTGCTTTGAATGTTTACATCTTTCGAGCGGTAGCGGCCCAATTCTACCGGAAGTTACTATTGAGAGCCGATCGACTACACTAAAATCGTTTGAATTATCCCGTAAATCGAGAGTCCACAATCTTCTCCATTCATTTGAGGTCA